TACAAATATACATAACTGGCAATAACCTTGCCGATCAAGCCGCCAAGCAAGCAAAGCAAGGTCTAGTTATTAGTACAAAAAACTTAAACCTTCTGTGTGTTATAAACCATATAAAACAATACTTCCTCTCGAATGGAACCTAATTAATAATACGGATAAAAATCCGGGTCGTCCCGGGATAAAGACCCGACTGTCGCGGAAACTATTGGATTTTAGTCGCCTCTTACGACAGGCATGCCTTACCGCGGGTAGATTCTTGAACCCCTAACCCGAAGGCTCATCAAATGGACTTCTTACAAAATAAAAAAAAAAATCTTTCATGACTTGACGTTATAAAATTCGAGCGCCTTAGACTAGGACACGCCAAACTAACACATCTTATGAACAACTCAAACCCTATATACTGTAATCGCAGCGCAAATATCATAGTCATTGTTAATCACCTTCAACTTAGCTGCCATGGAGAACGAATTTTTACTGACTTAAGCCCTATTTCTTACCTCCCAGTTCCCTCAGGACAAATATTTTTCATAAGATTTAAGCAAACGGAATCTAAACTCAAAATGTAAATGTGTACATAGTATGATAATTAAATATGTAAATAAGTATTGAGCTTTACAAATTGCTTATAAGATTTATTTTAAATCAATAAATCAAAAAAAAATGTATGGTATGAGATATAAATAATTTAAACATTCTCCTTTCTGAAGTAATCTAGACTAAACGGTTTAAAGAAGATCACATTTTTACTTTGCACTGTCCTCTGACTCGGAAAATTTATTTTTTATTTACTATCGCTGGAATTATTTATTAAATTTCTCGCACTCTTGCTTCTGTCGGTAAAGATTACTTCTCTAACTTATTTTTCTGGAAAGAACCACTGAAACATTTTAAATATGTTGTTCTGTGAGCTAGTTGTAAGTGGCAAATTTTAGGAATGCTATTGTTACCATTTTAGGTTTTTTTTTGCAAATAAAAGACAATTTTCAAATTTTGCACTCATATCTTCAGCATTCATTTTTGATAATATGTACACGTATATACTGCATCCAGCAGAGTTAACATTATATAATCGTAAATGTATTGCATACTTGTTATGAAATTGGACATGCCTCGGTTTTTACGTAATATTACATGAAACGTAGGCAAGTGACAATAGGTGAAACGGTCTTTGAATAATTATTGCCTGACGATGTTCGAATTGTTATTAGTGGCAAGGACACTTTTAGTTCTTAACAAGGAGAAAATTTGTAAAAGCGTGTAATCTAGACAAAAGGAAAGGTTACAATGAATCAAACTAAAGATATATTCAACATATATATGTATGTTTTTGAATACAAATTGTGCTTAAAAACTATGGTCGAAATTCCACATTCCATGAAATATCCACATACGAGAACATATTTCCAAGAACACACCGAAAAATATTTTGAACAACGGTAATTTGAATCCCAATTTGCTCAAATATCTTTGATTCTAACTTCAAATTATAAGTGTAATTGTTCCACTTTGGAATCCCAGAACGAACTTATCTCTCTACGGAAAATCAGCAATCAGATCAAATAATTCTAACCTTTTTTGCTAGCCATAAATAAAAAGATAGTAATAATTATATACCAGTTCATAAATAATATGCAATTTTAACAGCACAACAAAAACAACTTCAAATGTGAATGCGCATTCTTCTTCTTCTTTACGCCACTTATGCGATTATAGCCGGGTTAGCAACATTGCCCCATTTCGATGTACGGCCAAGACCTTCACTCCGTCCGGTTACTGCATCGAAAAGTATCAATGCTGGAGTATTCCTATCCATACGGACCCATGACCTAGCCAGTGTAGCCTCTGTTTCCTGATTCGCTGAACTATGTCAATGTCGCCATATATCTCGTAAAGCTCATCGTTTCATTGTCTGCGTTATTCGCCGTTCCCAAACTCACAAAGGACCATAAATGTCATCATTCATGCTATCACACCATTTATCAGGACAGGAATGATGAGGAACTTGTAGAGTTTGGCCTTCGTTCGTCGAGAGAGGATTTTCTTTTCAATTGCCTACTCAGTCCAAAGTGACACATGTTGGCAAGAGTGATTCTGCCCTGGCTTTCCACATTGTTTTTCGTGTTTATACTGGTTCCAAGATAGACGATGTTATCTACGACTTCAAAGCTATGACTGCCGTGGAAGCCAAGTCGCGAATTCGATAACTTTTGTTTGATGACAGGAGATACTTCGTCTTGCCCTCGTTCACTACCAGACCCGTATCTTTCGCTTTCTTATCCGGTCTGGAGATAGCAGAACTCCTGGCGCGGTTGTTGAGGCCAATAATGCTAATACCATCGGCGTACGCCAGGAGCTGTACACCCTTATAGAAGATTGTACCTTCTCTATTCACATCTGCAGCTCTTATAATTTTCTCCAGCAATAAGTCACACAATAAGGAATGCGCATTAGTTTCGAAAATTTTATATGTTTTACATATATGCATATGTATGTTATTTTATGTATATTTACTTTTATTGCTTCGCTAACTCTCAATGAAATCGGCTCAATGATTGCTAACTTATTGCATTTACCCTTGAATTGGGTAATACTAAATTTACTAGCAATCTCCATAAATCAGCGATACATTATTTATTTATTATATTTTAAGGGGTAAATTTGTTTTTGTGGTCAATATCTAAAAGTACAATAGTAATTATTGAAATTCGTTTGAATAAAATTTTAGTTACCATTTTTATTAATTTAACAATTTTAATCCACAATGTTGACTTGAACTTACAGTTGAAGCGGCTGCATTACACGACACAGTTCACTTCGTTGCACGAAAACCCAAAAAATGCCAGGATCTTAATTGAAAATATACATGGATCTCAGGGCACGCTAGCATAAAAGGCAAGGAAATTACCGATGAACGAGCTACAGATGCAGGTAATCAAAAAAAGCACATATACAACTTTTTTTTATTGTAAAAGACATTCGTAGTCATGTTCAAAGCTTCCTGAACTCAACGCTCGCGGGAAAATGGTCACTCTGTATCATCATTACACAAAGCACAATACTACTGGCACCAAACCTAAATCTCCTGCTAAGAGTTTCTGCTATGAAATAAAATCTTTTTACGCCTGAGAATAAAGATCACATAAATCCCTGTGTATACTATGTAACTCCAACATGACCGTAACCCACATACCCGAGGAATGCATTATTCTACGCCAAAACAGGTCAACTACATTTTTATTATGGTTTTCCTTTATATTGTTTTAATATAAAACACACAAAATTAATATTCAATCAGGCTAAATGTATTCATATTTGGTTTTTGGATTTCCACCTAATTCCATTGTTAGTTACGGATAGAAGTAGTCGCCTTACTTTTGAAAAAAAAAAAATTTATTCCACAGTGGAACATTTAATTATGTTCGAAAGCGTTATAGTATAGATCGAGCACTGTTTTAGATAAAGAAAGTTACCAACTACGTACTAAATTCTTCACTAAGTACTAAATTCTTCTGTCTTGGAAATAACAAAGAGAAGCTGCAAATGCATACATAGGCAACATTTGAATCAACAAATAAATTCAAACTACAAAAGAGCACCCTTTTGGAGTATGCGCCTAAGACATGAGAAATTCTCTGACAAAACACATCGTATACATATACATATACAAATGTGTTGAAATGATAGGTTAAAAAAAGGAAGAACGAAATAAATAATGAAACCACTCACATAAAGCAGGAAGTAAAAAAGAGATTTCTGTTTTTTTGATGAATGAAGAGTAAATCGCATCGAATATATGCTTATAGAAATATATTTTACGCAATATACATACATATGTATTCGTATAATAAGTGGTTGTTTTAGTTGACCGACTCAATGTTGAGAAGTTTTATAGGAGGAGTTCTTTATATACACAGCCGTTAGAGTAAAATGGGGTTGATTTAAAATAAAGAGTGAATGTATCCAAAGAGTGAACGACTAAGCTGGGGAAGTATACCAACAGCACTCAATTCAAAGCTTAATGTTATCACAACTTGCAAAGAAGGGAAGTAATTATTAAAGCTGAGTGAGAAGCCTTTATTTAAAAAAAATTACATAGTTTTGAGTGAATTGCAGTAGAATTAAATATGTATGTAGATGCACTTTAAAAATTCCATAAGTATACTTTAAAACTCGAATTAAATATAATAACCTAATCAGGTACGCAATGCTTTCTTGTTTTATGATTTAATACGGGAAACTTACCAAGTTGGAAAACAATATCAATTGATCACTCTTTGCTCAGCGACATACCTACATATAGTCATAGAATTACATACATACATATATTTGAGTGTACCTGTGTATGTATATGAATCTGTGATTTATTCTTCATATCAACCTAGGGACAACGTTTTGAGGTAAATATTTTAACAACTAATCAATATATCTACGCCACCAAAAGTACAACTCTCATTAAAGGCCTAGTATTATTCGTAATGGTACAAAAGTAAAAAGTTGGACTTCCAAGGACTAATGACGGTACGTTTATTGGGTATGTCAAAATACCATTTCCATGAGTACTTGTTTTGAGTGAATACTGTCTACTTGTGAGTAATCAAGCAGCTCATTAGAAATTACAGTGAAAGGGATTTAGTTGAGTTTGAGTTGTTTTACTATTATTTTTTTAATAAAAATTTCGGGTCATTTTTCAGCGAAGGAACATTTGTTATATGGGTATTTTTCACGAGACATTATAGCTCAAATTTGAAATTGTAGTTTTACATACCTCTTCGGAAAAACTCCTGTTGCTGTTGCTCTTAAAGAGTAGTATTGCTTTATATACAATATATCTGTATACGATTGATACGGTCTTCGTTGCCACTGAGTGAATATTTTCGAGTGTGCGTGAAATCAACCCTCTTTCTTTGTGGCCTTTCACATGTTTAGTGTTGAGTTACGTTGCCTTTTCAATAGATATGTATTTGGTTACTTAAAGCTGAGTCGCGCACACTGTTCGTATCAGTCGTGATTGGACGCTAGTAGTGCGTGGTATTATTTTTTAAATATTTTTATACAGGAAGATACACTTACACCTTAGTAAAAAACAATACTGAATGGAATATCAACACAACTCTCTAAATTTACGTAAAAGTGTAATTCAAAAATCTTATAAGATAGTGAAGAATATCAAGTTATTGAAATGCAATCGCCCTTTTTTAAGGCACGAACAAAAAAAATAAAATACCGAATGTCGCTTTGTCAAAGGACGTGCCATTGCATACAATGATGATTTAATGTCGCTGATGCCATTATATATCGACGTGATTGCACGCAAATCATATCACTCTGTTACGACAACTCGTCTGGTACACATCTCCAGCGAGCTGAGCTGAAGAACGAAGTATAAATTAAACTGAAAACAATTGAGATATCTTGTCATACATAGCATTGGAATTCAACATATAATACCTCAAAACAACTTTTTAGTTACTGAAGAATTTACTAATTCATCATAAAGAAATGGACTACCTCATATTTGAGAATTCGTGACCTTTTTGAATACATAAATATGTGAAATAAAAGTAGGATTTCTAATCAGTTACGTACAAAACTACCTCAAAGTACAAAAGTGCTCCTCAAACGAAATTCCATAAGAATTTACATCAAATTAACACAACGACGTCAAAAATACATATTGATTGATTCTCTTAACGAATATTTCCAAAACGAATAGTTATTTAAAAAATTTTCACTGACTTCGAGTATTGTACGACAGTTTACCGTATCTCGGGATATAAGCTTATAACATATTATATATTATGGCAATATCAATGCTGCAGGATGCTCAGACACGAAGTAAGTTTTTTTTAAATTTTTCATTAGTTGAATTTTTCTATAATTTTGTTTTATATTAATTTAATATTAGTTGCTCTGTTCTTTTATTAACAAACATTTAAAAGTAACCATATATTCAATTAATCTAGTACAAAAATATTTATATAAACGCTTATTTTTACAAATACTAAGGCCTTTAAATTTTAACTCATTTCAATCGCCCACATCCTCATTATCCATACTGAAAACAACCCCTTTAACACTGTCCTGAAAATTTATTGGAGGCTGATTCGCTCCGTCATGTCGCCATAGCACTATAAGCGCCATCACCAATACATACTCTCAAAGCACTCCATTACACACAAAACGAACAACACAAAGTCGAAAAACAAAAGAAAAAAGCCTCCCGCAATACGATGACTACAATATCCATGTTTACTACTTGTGCCTTTAAACCTTTAAGGGAGTTCTCATTTTGATTGTCATGTTCGTGATAATTATCATTATCATTAACCGCAAGAATTTACTGCAACAATTCACAGGTTCTTTTTTGTTTAGTTTTGTTGATAACAAATGTATGATATTTGTTTTGTCTTGTACGTTGACACACGACCGGCATTAAACTCTTTCACACACACGCCCCCAAAATAAGAAGAAGGTGGAAAGATAATAAACGAAAAAGTTTTACTGAATGATTCTAAAAACTTTAACATAATAGAGCGCCAAAACTCTGTGCAAGCTCACTCATTACCCTTTACGAGCGCCTTTATGTCACATTTGAGTATAAAACTTTCTCTTTTACGAATGCATATGAACTATTATATATTCATATGTTCTCTTTGACTCGTACCTCTCTTTAAGAAGCATGGGGCATATTACATTTAATTTTCCCTTTTGAATTTTATAAGCGTACATATACATATGTATACGAATTGCTTCAAGCTATAATCACCTAACTCGACTTGAACCAATGAATACTATTGAAAATGAAAGATAATATTATAGTTGTTCGTCCCAAAAATGTAATATTGTCAAGCCCTACTGAGTTAAGTCACTATTTACTTGAAAAATCGAGGTTCCACATAAAATAGTGTTCTTATGCAAGGGCTTTACATTAATATTTTTACATTTCCTATACTTTAATCTCTTCTAAATATTTTTGTTTTCTTTCAGGTCTAGCCGCAGCACTAGCTGGCATGCAACGAGACGATGTCGATTTCCATACATTATCCATGTCTCCTCCAATATCCGCAAATACATCTGCAACTAATTTGTATACCAGTTTACAGCAAGTTGCCACTGGAACAGCTTTTGGTATGCTATCGCCCTCACAACTGCTGGCGGCAAATCGCCAAGCGGCTGTTGCACTTATGGCAACTCAATTGTTCCCTCAACATAAAGCGATGTTTGGTACTGTGTGGGGTAATAATCCTCAGCTTAACCCTGGTCCGCAATCACCACCTGCAAGTCCAAATTCATCTATTACCTCAGCAACACCCTCAAATAGTGGTAAACATAGTCTTAATATATCGCCTGCAACTTCTATACACAATGAGCAATTGGCAAAAAAACCAAGAAAACTAGTGGTTAAGAAAGATTTAATTTCTGCACCAATAGAAATCTCGATGAACGTGAATGATTTGTATAATTCAACCGGCTCAATATCCCCTCCGTCATCTGGATCTTCTCCCAGCTCAGCACACGACGCTCATATTCGAACCGATATAGCAATACCCATTTCTTCCATAAAAGACTCCCCTCGTGATAAAAGTTTCACTTGTAAGATATGTTCTCGGTCGTTTGGATACAAACATGTGCTACAGAATCACGAGCGCACACACACAGGTGAGAAGCCTTTTGAATGTCCTGAATGTCACAAACGTTTCACCCGTGATCACCATCTTAAGACACACATGCGCTTACACACCGGTGAGAAGCCATACCATTGCTCCCACTGTGACCGTCAATTTGTCCAAGTAGCCAATCTCCGTCGCCATTTACGTGTACACACTGGCGAGCGTCCATATTCCTGCGAAATCTGCGATGGTAAATTCAGTGACTCAAACCAATTAAAGTCTCATATGTTAGTGCATAATGGTGAAAAACCATTTGAGTGCACTGAGTGTCATGTCAAATTTCGCAGACGCCATCATTTGTTGAATCACAAATGCGGTCAAACAACAATTTCCAGCCTGCAGTCCCCACCAACGTCACCTAATGTAAGACACAGCCCCAGTTGTCGTAGCGGTGAATATGGACTATGTGATCAAAAATCTGTAATGGGAACAAGCTGTGGTTCGGAAGAGTCTGAAAATGTTGTTCACCGAGTAAACATTTCAACATCATCGTATGACCACCAGAATACTCAACTCCGTTCTAACATGTCACCTGTTGGTAATTCCTTAAGCATCCCCGAAACTTCCGCTGATGATGAATATGAGGAAGAAACGCCGCTCGATCTATCCGAAAGTGACATTAGCGTCGATATTGGACGGAATAGTACAATGCTGGCCCAAGATTTACACCGCGCATTTATTTTACCTTCCCAAGTTATGCGAATACACAATGAAATACCTGAACAAACTGAGCCCGAGGATTTAAGTATGCATCGTAACAAAACTCATTTAGTATCGTTATCTAAAAAAAGCCCTGCATACCCCTCCGAGACGATTATGGATGGTGATCTAGGTCTTGAAGAATTTAATAATGCATCAATTTTCTATATGCGCCATCAACATCATTTTTCGGGTTTAAAACACTGCGCTCTAATAGAGTAGGAGCAGCATTTCACACTAAGGTGTTCAAAAGACTGTAGTGGCCAAAAACTCGAATCTTGTAACTCGAGCGAAAATCTTATTCTGCTGATACCACTGTTTCTGCGCTTATTGTTAGCGAGAATCAAAATTCAAAGTGATGAAAGTGCAGCTACCAGTCATAATTGTGCTGACTTTGGGAACTGCACAGAGTAAGAAGAACCAAATATCTCCTCGAAATATCAAAGCAAAGACGAAGGAAATATATTTTCCATTATCAGTACAACATTCGGCTAATGAATAAGCGCAAATATTATATTTATATTAGTTCTTATTAGAGCAGAAAAAAAATGTTCAAATACAAAACTCTAAGCTAAAATATTAGCTTATAATTTGGATTAAGAGGACCAACATAGCTCCATCATTAACAGTGCCATTTTTTTAATTTTGGAAACAGTTTGATTATTAAATTTATATTATTTAAACAGCCTATCATTGTAAATGTAAATAAAAAAAATGTAAATATGTATGTACATATGTATTGCCTCTGTAATAATTGTACAATAATTTTGTTGAATTATTTAATTAAATTATATTTAAAATTAATATATGTATATTAGCTTGTTGAATCACGTTTATATTATTTATAAGTTTTAAGTCTTATTCAATAATTCAAAAGAGAAAATCAAAATTGACTACAAGTTAAACAAAATGAAACCATACGACATAATTTTTAGTTAAACGTAATTGTTTCTATTTGTTCTATTTCAATGATTTTGGGTTTTAGTAAAATTTGAGATTGTATATTTACTCAATTAAAATAGATTACAAAATTTGAAAAACCAAAAAATGTTTTTTTTCTTTGCAGTTTTCTTTTCTCCTCGGTTACATTACTTATAAAAGTCTTTTTTGTACTATAGTTTATATCAACAAATATTTTGAAATATAAAAATATAACCAATATTAATGCTCATACAAATTATAGTCACTGTTTAAAGTGAGTGAAAATTCCGATCAGGAAATTACTATAAAACCATATACCTCCATTACCTCCTCTAAAAATAGCGGTGATAACCGTTAGTTGAAAATACTGCTTGAAATTGATGAATTTATATTTGACTATTAATGCTAAAAAATATGTAGGACTTAGACGTAATAAAAAATAATAATTGTTAGAAGAATACACACGATTCGAAACTGAAAGCAATCTTAAAGATATCAATGAAATCTATAAAGAAACCATATACATATATCTTAATAGAGTAAAAATTAACTGTAAATTTTATCAAAATACAAAGATTTTCGGGAAGTGTGTTACTTAAGAAAACCTTGGTCAATTGAATGTATGTATATACATAAAATAGTTCAAAAATATAAATCGCAAAAATGTATAATTTTTCTTGTTGATTCAAAGATGTATGGTATAAAATGTTCCTTGGATTAATTACAATAATGATGCTGATATTTAGTACGTAGTAGTCAAGCTGTTTCAACACTTGTGCATGTTTATTTTAAAAAGAAATTCGGATTTCTATTTTGAAGAACGGGTTTATGTTTTAATATTTTTAAAACAATAATATAAATAATTTTTATACGCAAGTATATCGACCGCGTAGGTCTCTTCATTTGGAGAGGAGGCGCAAGTCAAAGTTTTACTTATAGATTTTAGTTAAATACATTTCTAATGATTTATTTGTATTTAATTCCTCTTTTGTTATCCTTCTATTATTTAAAGAAGCTTGGTGCATATGTCGAGAAATATTCATTGCTCTACTACGACAAATTGTATTTTCTATAAAATACGATGAAATTGTAATTAACTTCAAAATTACGTATATTAGCTCATGTATGTATATACATATATGTAATATAAGAATAGGATTAAAGTATTTACTTATTATGCAATCATTTGAAAATTGTGCAATAAAACAGTTAAATATTGTATAGTTAATTATCTGCATATGTATAATGCATATTAATTTACTTATATTGAAACTAGAATTATGTATGAACATGTGAGTGTACCATTACAAATTTCAAAGACATTTGAGAAACAATTGCAGTTTTAATTAATTTTAAAATCAATGAACCCTAGTCAAATTTAAATTTATTGATATGTAAAAACTGTAGTATATATGTATACAATATACATATGTATATTAATGAGAAAACGTTTACGATTCAATTGCCTTCAAGCGTTAATAGGTCCATGTGTTTATATTGTATATATATATACATATATATATATGTATGTTCAAATATATATGTGTATATATATTTATATATGTATGTTCAAATATATATGTTTGTGTATATTATGCGAGATCTATTCTACATTGTAAACATGCGTATACATACAAATACAAAACTTTTTATATGATTTTTATTATTATTTGTTATTATTCTTAAACAATGATGGAAAATAAATTATCCTATAAACTATCCAAAGTGCAAAACCATTTTCGGGATTTATTGATTCCAGCTCAGAACGAAACACTTAAGACTGATATATTATATGTTTAAAATCATTTTGCAGCTTAGCTTTGTTTTGAAAGTCATCAATGGTTTTCGCGTGGCAGTAGTGCACAGTGGTAGTAAAATTTCAGTAGAGTAATGTTTACAATAAGCCTCAACGGAAAGTTTGTTTAGTCCTTGGTCAGACAGGTCAGTGCCTCTAGTTAACAAAACATTTTTTTAAGTAATGATTATAATATATTATTCCGAAAAATGTTTAGAGTTGTACGCAGTACAATCGGTTATCAGAATGTCATCTCCATCTTTACAATATATGTATTGACATTTTGACTATAAAAATTTGTAATTTATGCAGGAACGGCCTTTTCGCTTAAGTGTGCTCTACCACCACCACCATTTTGTGACACACACGCCCATATCTAAGTTTTGTTCAACACCTTAAATTCTTATGTATCCGCGTTACTCTCAAGGCGAATCATATTTTGTCCTTCTCTATTTAAAATTACTCCTTTTCTATGGTTTAATTCAAGTTATCGCTTATCCGCAGCGAATAACTGCGTTGGTATTGGCTTCGGTGCTTCCGTTCAAATGCGTGCGCATGCACACACAAGGTGTGTACAAAGAATGAGGTAAATTTTAATTTTTCTTACAAATTTTTTATTTATTAATCAATTTGTATTTCCCCATCTTGCTCCAGGCTTGGTTTAATCCGAGCAACAGTTTTGATGTGCACTTAGCTTTTTGAGATATTTAGAATTCATCTTCTGAAGCGTGGCAAATCGCCGTTTTTTTGGTATACTTAGCTTTTCCTTTTTATTGGCGAGGCAATACGGAAGGTCACAACTTAGAATAAACTAGAGACCCCTTCATTTGTTGGGAAAACATAAAGTCGCACAGAACAATATATCAAAAAGAAATTCATTATTTTTGCATGATATTGAAGGCTTTAATTCTTACTTTTCGTATCCAGTCTTATTCAAATGGTTCCAAACGGTTTTTTGTGCAATCTTTAGCTCTTGGACATTCGAAGCAGTGTTTGATGACGGTCGGACTCGACAATGCCGATGATTTTATCGACATTTTCGTCAATTTTCCTTTCACTTCATGAAGCATCTTTTACATACATCAAATTTACCGGAATGAAACTGGAATTGTGCAAGATTGACTGTAACAGTATCAGGAATATAAACGCTATTCACATTTTCAGCCAGCTTGCGTTTTCGCCCTCATCGAAGAAATACTGTAAAAAATAGCGTATTTTTTTTGCTAGTGTCCATCTTTGTCTCACGCTCAAGCAAAACTGAATCAACCATGTTTCTAACGTCATCTAGCGGAACCTGATCGGACTTATACAACGCGGGATACAGATAAATAACGTCATCTATTGGAAAAATAATGGATTTCTCTTTACTACACCTAATATAAAGTGTATTCACCCCTTAAGCGATAGTATTAAAGTGAAAAACAGCGGAGTGGAGGTCTTCCTCTTCCTCTGCCTCCACCACTTTATTCATGAGAACCGGAAAAGTCGAATGGATCAAATCTGGTGAATACGGAAGTAAAGCATGATTTCGTTGTCGTTTTTGGCAAGGGAAAAAATACCAAAATGCTGTGGCGAGTGAGTAGATGGCACCATCACCATTTTTAATATTTTAGATCACCTAATCCCATTTCGTATGTCGATCAAAACTTGTCGTATGTTGATTTTATAGACTGGAATCAAAGATCGGTTCTATGTGAGCAGGTTTGCTTGTTTATTGTGTCAATGTGTTTTAATTTAATGTCTAATTGAAGTTCATACAGCAGTAGATTTAGAACTTAATAATGTTTCTACTTACCATTTATTGGAAAGGCGCAATGCTGTTCTGAGTTCATCGTTGTGACCGAAAAAATTAAAATCAAAAATTATCTACATGGTACAGTTTTCTGATTTCGAGAATTTTCAGTGAGAGTGTTTATTTATATATACGTCTAATGCATGTAGGTAATGAGAGCTTTGTGCAGTGCATTTGAGTTGGTAAAAACCAGGAGACAAGTTTGCCTACAAACAGACGGACAGATGGTCCTGGACATGGCTAAATCAACACTAAACTCGTCATTCTGTCAGTATAAATTTTGATTGAAGCAACCTCTTCTTCTTCTGGACTTACATACGTACTTCGAACCAAAGTTAATATACCAAAATAAAAGGTATAAAAAATAGCAGCAGAAGAAGATGATAATTAAATATATAAATCATTCCAAAAAAATGGTCAGGGATAAATAAATTTTTGAAATAAATAAATCATTGAGAGCAAAGTTTTCGATTGAACATTAAGATTCCTAGTTTCATATCAAAATGGAATATTATAATTGAATATCAACTAGTGTCACACTTTTGTGCACTTTAAAGTTGAAAGTATATGACTTATGTAGTACTCAGTTTATTTTGAAAAATTCGATTTGATCGAATTCGATAATAATGATTATTTTAGAGGAAAAACGTGAAAACCGAAAAGTAAAAAATTGCATATAATATCGATCGACAAAATACTCGTATATATAATTAACAATCATAATTCTGAGCGATAAGTTAAAATTTAAATTAAATATTAATTTTTAGTTTTACAGATATATTTTTTTAAATTACTACAAAATTAAAAAACGGTTTTAAGGGATATGCCGCTGATATAGAAAAGACTCTCGTGGGATAAACAGAAGTCTACGATTTTTTCCATTAAAAAATTCAAGAATAAAGACTATTTTTTATCCTCCAAATCAATATTTTTCAAGAACTTTAGAATCATTATTTTTTTAGAAATGTAATTTCACTATCTGTAAACATGACTCCCAAATATGCAGATGAAAAATGTTAGTATTGTACACATGGGTACTGCTAGTCACAAAAACTAAGAAGAGCTTTTAAAATCTGTATATCTAGTGTCATTCCTAAGGAAATTTTGTTAATTTGCGCAGGTTTTCTCCAAGGAAGTAGTTTAGGTCAACTACTGTTTCTTATATGTAAGCAGATGTCGTCAAACTGAGCAGTC